ATGGCTGGCGCCTTAGCCACTTGAGCCACAGGTGCAGAGCCGACTACTGCCTTCTTCATGTGTCTCTGCCCTCATGACCTAATGACCTCCTAAAGGCCCTACCTCCTAATACCATTAAATTGGTGATTAGGTTTCAACAAATGGAATTTGAGGGGACAAACACTCAGATCATAGCAATGCCTGACATGTAGTATTTCATTCTCCTATGAGTGGTCACACTTTTAAAAATGATTGAACTGGTAAAACAGTGTAGCCACTTTGGAAAACAATCTGGCAGTTCCTCCACGTTAAAAATAAAGTTACCATATGACCTGGAAATTCCACTCTTAAGTATATACCCAAGAGAAATAGAAACCTATGTCCACAGTAAAACTTGTACACAAATGTTCATAGCCGCGTTATTTGTAATAGTGAAAAAGTGAAAACAACCCAAATGTCCATCAACTAATAAAAGATAAATAAAATAAATGCTACATCCATGCAATGTATTATTATTCAGCCATAAAAAGTAATTAAGTATGGGCGGCGCCTGTGGCTCAATGCTAGGGTGCCAGCCCCTATGCTGAGGGTGGCGGGTTCACTCAGCCTGAGAATGAACCGCAAAACAAACAAACAAAATAGCCGGCTGTTGTGAAGGGCGCCTGTAGTCCCAGCTATTGGGGAGGCTGAGGCAAGAGAATCACCTAAGCCCAAGAGCTGGAGGTTGCTGTGAACTGTGACATCACAGCATTCTACTGAGGGTGATAAAGTGAGACTCTGTCTCTACCAAAAAAAAAAAACAAAGTAAGTGAGTACTAATACATGAAACATCTATGAACCTTAAAAACATCGCATTGAGTGAAAAAAGCCAGCTACAAAAAAGTTACAATACTGGATGAATCCATTTATATGGAATTTCCAAAATAGGGAACTCCAAAGAGACAGAGAAGTAAGGCTAGAAATGTTGAAGGGGAATGGACAGTAACTGCTAATGAATAGGGTTTGGGGGGGCGGGCAGTAGTGGTGATGAAAATGATCTAAAATTAGATAGAGATGTCGTTTGCACAACTCTATGGATACACTAAAAACCACTTAATTGTACACTTTAAAAGGATGAAGTTTATGGCATACAAACGATGTCTCCATGAAGCTTGTTTTTTTAAGTGAAATATATTTTTTAAAAGATACAGTCATGTATCATTTACTAAAAGCTTTCAGCAAACTTATTAAAAATCCATAAAGAATTTTCAAGTAATATCAACAATTTGATTTCAAGAAAAGTAGCCTTGTCTACCTGAATTATGCAGCAGAGTGGCTGAATGGGAGGGTGCAGAGTCCAAAGATAACCGGACATCCCGGCTTCGGGGACCCGGTGGCTACAGGGTGGGGGCGTCTTCAGAAAGGAGAGTGAGAGGCAGATACAGGGGTATGTGTTCACCCGTATATCAGTCTTTTTCCTGGCTTCCCACCCAACCTTCTGTACTGTTCCTAGTTCCCGATCACCTCGGGGTCCCCGGTTCCCAAGGGTTTCAACAGCGCAACTGTGCCTATTGTCTGGCTCGGGAAATGCGGTGAATTAACTAAGGGACAGTGTGCCTTATAGTGACCCCACAGGGACTCGACCCACAGGGCACAGGGGCCCGCCCCACGCTGATCGCGGGATTTGGGCGGTGGGCGCTGGCACAGGGGCGGCGGGGAGCGGGCGCCGCAGCTGTCTCGGGGGCGGAGACCCACGCCTTTGTGCTGAGGCCGCTCCCGGCTCCCGCCGCTGGGGGGCGGCCTGCGCCCCGCCACCGCCGACAATAGCGGGAGCGGTGGGCGCCGCGCGGGCCCGGAAACTTTTCCCTGGCGCTTTCGCTGCCGCCTCCCGCGCTGGGAGCGCTGAGTGGGGCGCGCCCATCTGCGCCCGCGGCCGGTGCGCTTCTCCCGGGCCGCCGCGGCGGAACTGAGCCCAGGGAAGGGGGCGCGGGGCAGCAGCGCCCGGAGCAGCCCGCGGCGGGGGAGGCTGCGCCCGGGTCCCCGGCCACACGCGAGGCTTGGGCGCCCGGCCGGGAGCAGCACCGCGCCATGGGAGAGGCGCCCAGTCCTGCGCCGGCGCTCTGGGACTGGGACTACCTGAACCGCTGCTTCGCCCGCCACCGCGTCTGCATCTCCTTCGGCCTGTGGATCTGCGCCTCCTCCTGCTGGATCGCCGCCCACGCGCTGTAATGGGGCCCGAGACCCGCGGCGCGAGGGGGGTGGCGGGTGGGTCGTGCGGGGAAGTGGGCCCTGAGCCCCAGGTACTCCCGCTGGGAAACCTAGAGGAAGGGGCGGAACAGGGGGATGGAGGAAGCAGCCCCGTTCCAGGATCAGATCTAACATTTCTCTGTAGACTGAAGTCGGACACTTCTTTCCGGATTCCATGCATGGGGAAGCTGGGCTGTGAGCCAACAGGAGGCGGCTGGGTGGTGCAGTGGATGGGGCCCTGGCAGGACACTGTGAGTCCTGTGTTGTTGTCAGCCCTTTCCCATTGATCCTGGGTGTGAGCTGGGCAAGTTCTAAAGCCTCTGTCTCTGCCTCATGTGAATGGGGGTGATACTTCGAAGTATGGATGGGGTGAAAGAGTCAGGACTGGTAAACACTTAACTGCTCATTAAACATCGTTTGTATTGCTCTAGTTCTGCCACGCCAACCCTTGGGGACCTTGGCAAATCACTTCATGCTTTTGCCCAATTTACCCCAGACCCTCTTAACCGGAAAGGGAGTGATGATGATCTGATTCTGGCCACAGTCTTTGCCTCCATCTTCAAGCACCTGGAGTAGTTTGCCCAGGTGGACACCATAGTTAGAAGAGTGAAGTCTCCAGGTCTTTAGCCGCCCTGTCCCAGGCACAGAAATCCACAAGCAGGGCCAAGGTTGGTGCCACCCAAGTATTCCCTGGCACCAGAGAAAGGACCAGCAGAACTGGGGGAGGGGGCTGAAACTGACTCACCTTAGCTCAGTGGACATTCCCGTCAGGCTTCCATGGTGTCGCAGAAATTCTGCAGCCCCATCACCTGGTGACTGGAATACCAATAAAGAGGCACTCAGAACATTTACTGTGGGTTCAGTGTTGCATTTATTAACTGGTGCAGTCCCTGCCACACCCCCATGACATGGATACTGTTATTATCCCCACTTTCAGTGAGGGTCCTTGAGGTTCTGAGAGCTTGAATAGCTTATCTGAATGAAGAGAAAGAACCAAAAGCCCAGATCCTACTGAAGAGGGCTGGGCCTATAAAATTATCCAGATGGGAGGCCAGACACTACTGCAGCACCATACCTGCATTCTCTCATTTGTTCCACCCTGAGGTCAGCACTGTTAGGCATTTGACCAGCCTGGAACCCAAGGCTTGGAGCAGTTAAGTAACTCCAAGAATGCCCTGCTGGCCAGCCTGAGAACAGAACTCGTACCTTCTCACTTGCCTGGAGGTGGTTTTCCAGACCTCAGCATCCCTTTGTCTATGAGGAACTTGTCTCTTCTGAGTGACGTCTGGGCTGGGTTAAGGTCAGCCCAAGATCCTTAGACCTGAGATCTGGGGTAGTGGCTGAGAACAACAGGGTTCAGAGCAAACCTCCACAGGGAAGCCAAAGACTCCTGTTAAGCTGCCTCATCCCCATAGTCCTCAGTTTTTCCTCTCTCAAATGGGAGGGTTGAAATAAATTATTTCTAATTTGGGTCCAACTCTGAGAATCTCTAAGAGTCTCTGCTTTTTGGTCTTGAATTATGTTCAGGAGCCCAGGGCCCAGATTAAAGGTAGATGTTCCCACCATGAGCTTCAGGCTTGGCTGCAGGTTGGGAAGTATGTAGGAGCCCCAAATCTGTCCTCATCCATGTCTTTCTCCCTATTCTGAATCTCAGAACCAGGCAAACCATCCTGAGGATGTGGCATGAGGACCACCCTCTGGCTTAAGGAAGTGAAACCAGAGCTGGAGTTGTGCCTCGGTTTCTCCTTAGAAATGCAGTAGGGAGACATCTAAAACAAAACATTTCCAAGAACCCATCCAGGCAGAGGGAGAGAGTACTTTGTCACCTCTGACCTGTCATGTTCCTGGGTGGCTGCAGAATGGAGGAGGGCCACAGGGAGAGAAGCCACGGTGGTGCTGGGGCAAGGCAGCCAGGGTGCCTACTCGCAGGAGTTTGCCTCTGTGTGTGAAGAACAAACTCGGCGCTAGGCCAGCCCACTGTAAGGAGAGTATAAAAACACCTTAATTTTAGAGAAACAAGTTGCCTTTTAAAGATAGGCAATTAACCCTGTCGTGAAGTTCACTGCAGTGGTGGGATTATGTTTCTAACTCTCCTGCTTCTATTTCAAAAAATAAATCCTAACAGCTAGTTTTTCAGTGCTGAACAGGTGGTTGGTTAGATGGTGTCAGCCTGATTTGGAGGTAAAAGGTAATTCTTCCTTTTTTTTTTTTTTTTGAGACGGAGCCTCAAGCTATGCCCCTGGGTAGAGTGCTATGGCATCACAGCTCACAGCAACCTCCAACTCCTGGGCTCAAGTGAGCCTCCTGCCTCAGCCTCCCAAGTAGCTGGGACTACAGGCGTCCGCCACAACGCCTGGCCATTTTTTTTGGTTGCAGCCATCATTGTTGTTTGGCGGGCCCGGCCTGGGGATTCGAACCTGCCACCTTAGGTGTATGTGGCTGGCGCCTTAGCCGCTTGAGCCACAGGCGCCGAGCCAGGTAATTCTTCCTTATAGAGGAGGGGGTCTCCACATCTTCTGAGGCCTAGCTGCTGCCTTAGGCTTGTAGACAGAGGCTCTCAAGTCTTTTGATCTTTTCTATCTGTAAACTAAGTTGCAAAGCACCTGCTAAATATTGGGAGGAGGGTGTGCTCCATAAGGATGCAAAGTCACGGTTATCCTTTACAGACACCTTTACAGACACCTGCTCGGGCCGTCCCCAAACTCATGGCTCCTGTGTTGTCTGCACTCCTGTCACCCTAGGCTTCTCTATCTGAGATGTGCAAAGAAATCTGGACAGGGCCAGTCGGCACTGTGCGCTGCATGCTGCCTCCTGACCAGTCTGTGCAACACCGTCGGGGCTATTCTAGCCAGACAGCTCACCATCCAGGTATGTGGGGGACAGTGCTCAGCCCAGCACAAGTCTGGCCTCCTTTCTCTGCTACAGCCATGGCGGCTTCTGTCTCGTTCCTTCAGCATGTAGAGCACACTCTCACCTTGGGGTGTGCCTTTGAAGCTCTTCCTGCCCTCGAATGCTCCTGTTCTCACTGTCAGCATGACGGCTCACTGCTTACTCCTGGTCTTTGCTCAAAAGCCACCTTCTTAGTAAGGCCTCCCCTGTTTAAAATGGTGATCTCCCTCTTCCACCAGCTTAACCCCTAAGACATCACACACTTTACTTGTTATGTTTACTGTTATGTTACTTGTATGCTAACCCCACTAGACCGCCAGCTCTGCTGATGGATTTATCTACTACCTGTCCGCATTACTTAAAACAGCACCTGGCACCTAGTAAATGCTTAGTCAGAATTCCTGTCACTGTTTTTAGAGTCCTGAGTGCAGCTCCAGGTCATACACAGGTGGCTGAGAGTCCTTTCCCAGGGGGTGATCTGGGCTTTGGGGTGAGGGAGGAGTTGTTTCAAATTTCCCAAAAGTCTGGGTCCTCAAACAAACCCGTGTAGAAGGATCCTCTCCCAAAGCCCATATCCCAAAGAGAGCCTACTGGGCCCACTGTCCGGGGCCACCCATGGGGCTGCTCCTGGCGTCCGGGTAGAAATGAAGCAGGGCCACCTAGTGGTCCGGGTACAGATTCTGAGTTCTCTAGACTGTGCTTTGAACAGCGTCATCTCAGAAGCAAATCACCTTTCATTTTACATGCCCATTATGTGATAGAAGTTGACACAGCCCCCCAGCTCAAACAGCCCAGTATATCGTATTAGCTGTTATTAATGGGCATCTGCATGACTTGGGATCTGTCATTTAAACACTCTGTCACCTCTTCAATCAAAAGAGATGATAATAGACTTTTCTCAGGATTGGTAGGGAGGCATCGTAGGACTCATATGTGGAAGCACTATATCAGTGTAACCCATGGTAGAGGGGATCTGGGAAGACAGGCGCTGTAATTGCTGAAAAAAAGGTATTTGAACACCAAGACTATTTCTGTTTGCTCCCAGGTTTTCACTGGTGCCTACTTAGCCGCCATTGACTTGGTGAACTTTATATTCATTCTATTCCCAGTCTGTGGACCCAAAGTCAAGTCCAGTTCAGGTGAGCGTGTGGCTGTCTGTTCCTGTCTTCATTCATCCGTTCATTCATCGATACACTGAGTGCCTTACTCCTTGTCATGCTCTAAGCTGGCCCCAGCTAGGCACAGACAACTGAGCAAGGTCCCTGATCTCAGCCCGATGAGGGAGAAGGTGGTAAACAATCACCAGAGCTGCTAGTTCTGAGGTGTGTGCATACCATTTGCAACCAAAGGGATGGAAGGGGCTGCAGCTGTCAGGCAGGCGCAGGGCATTGGACTGGTGGGGGCATTCCAGGCAAGCAGAACAGCAGGGGGGAAAGCCAAGTGCATGGCTTTAGGGGATGGACACTGATAAATCAGCATGCAAGTCCAGGGTGGCCCATTGAAGCCCCACAGTTTCTGGAATGGATGTCCGCACTAGGCATGGAGCATCACAGGCAGAGCAGGGGTTGGATGTAAATGAGACAGGCTGAGTAGCCTAAGTATATGGGACTGGGAATTCCCAGGAAGGCACAGCAATGCGCTTGCACCTTTGTTGAAAAAAGAGGGAACGCTTGCGTCAGTGGGTAAGGTAGCATGCCTTCAGCTGCTCAGTGCTGCCCCAGGGAGAAACGTTCCTACTAGAATTGCTCAGAGGAGTATCAGTCTCATATTTGAAGGAAGCTTTCAAAGATGCTGCTTATTGCTGTTTGTTCTGCTCAGTTTAGGGGCCTCAGCATGAATATAGGCATTCATGGATGCATTCCTGAAGTGTGAGCCGTCCTGCTCTATGGAGATTATAGAAACCACCAGGGCATCTCGCCTGTCTTTGGGAGTGCTGGTCTAGGAGAGGTGGAGAGGTGCTGCTGTCTGCGCATAGATACATATGATAAAGATAATGTCATCCCTGCCTTAGAAAGGAGAACAGTGCCAATCATGGGGGGTTGGGAGGAAAGGCTTCTTAAGGAAGTGGCAGGACCTTGGCTCTGGCATCGGATAGAGTCAACACCAGGTCTTCCCTTGCAGCTGTCTGAGGAGTTCTGGGTTCTAAGAGCCATTAGGGTCTTGGTGTCTGTTGCAGATCGTGGTGCCCGAGACAGGAAGAGGAGACAGCGGCTCAGGGCCAGTATATTTGCCCTGACCCTGCCACTGAGCCTGGGTCCATGCTGGGTTCTCTGGGCCACTGTCCCAAAGGCTTCAGCGCCTGTCCGGGGGCCGCAGAGGAGGCTGCTGGCGAGCCTGCTGCAGGTGAGGCTGAGCCACCACGGGAGGATGTGGGGTGGTGCGAATACCCTGGGGGCAGGGGGCAAAACTTAGAGGTTTTCAATGTTGGGAGAAACCTCCTAAAAGCAGAAAAGGACTCCTCAGATTCAGCTATTTCTTGGGATAAGGGACAGTCTCTGTAGAGTGCTAACAGCTTATTACTTCTTTTTACAGGAAAATACTGAACTCCTTGGCTACCTGCTGGGCAGCATCGCTGCCGTGGGCTCCTGGGCTTCCCAGATCCCCCCACTCTCCAGAATTGTGAGGCTGGGGCAGGGCTGGGATTGTGGGTCATGGGGCAGGCAGCCTGGAAGCTCTAGGTCGTGGGGCAGAGCTGTGGTGTCACTGTGTGTATCAATGAGGAAGGGGTATGTGTGGAGAGCAGACAGCTGGCCCAGGCATCCTAAGGACTGCCACAGCCTTCAGGAAAAGCCCACTGAGTTCTCTGCCATTTCCTGTAGCCAGTGAGAGGCAGGCTCTCAGGACGGAGCCCTGGGCCTGCATAAACAAGACCAGCAGAGAGTCTTGCTTTAGAGCTGGACGCAGTCAGGTCCTACTGTTCTGGCAGATTGAGTGGTCTCATTGGCAGGTATTTTCCAAGCATCTGGAGGGCAGCCCTGTGTTGGCCAGTGCTGTGGGGGATACAGATAGGAGCTTAGATATATTCTTACCTTTGGGGCATCCACAATTCCATGGAAGACACAGAAATGTGAAACAGGGTCTCTTAATGCTCCAAGACAGACAGAAACAAATGTTGGGGCTTTTAGAAGAAAGAGAGAGAGAGAAGGCTTTGCTGCTATTCAGATGAGCACGGCTGAAAACTATTTGCACTGTTGGCCGCAGAGTGGTGGGGAGGCGTCATGTTGGTGTAGAAGTAACGATGGGATTTGAGGGGTCAGAGGCTTAGGACAGCAGTCCAGGCAGAGAAGAGCACCCAGAAAAAGCACCCTGCACGATGGCGCTGGGGACAGCAGCTACTGTGGACAGGTGGAACCCGCTCTGCCAAGCTTTCTCTGCAGACAACTCAGACAGCTGTTCTTATCTCACTGACAGGAACAGGAATGGTGGCCAAGCCTAACACCATGAAATGTAACAGGCCCATCATTCAGTCTAAAAAGAATCACTTGCCTAAGAGCATCATGGTTTCATAGCAGTTCCTAGGGCACAGGGTTTGGGGAAGGCGCATGGTCAGTGGTGGTTTGCGTGAAGCTTCAGCCTGTACCAGGCTGCCAGAAACCTCCCAGACCCAGACCTCTGCAGCAGGTGCCCATCTACAGATTGAGGAAGAGAGTGGGGAGCTCTGGGCTGGCCCAGCAGCCCCCTAGGTTTCAAGGTAGGGCTTGAGCTATGTCACATGAGGACGTTGGAAGGGTCTGGTATGGTGCCATGACCCCAGTAGTTGCTCCACAGGGCTGCCATAACAAAGTACCACAAACTTTGAACAGCAGAGCCCCAAGATCCAGCGCCATGCTCCCTCTGAAGGCGCTGGGGGATGGTCTGTCTCAGGCTTCTCTCCCAGCTCTGGCAGTGTCTTGGCTTATGGCAGCACAACTCCAGGCATCACACGGTGTTCACTTGCCTATGTCCCCACATGGCCACCCTATAAACAGCTGAGTCATGGTCACTGTGCTAGAGGATGTGGCCAGGTGATGGGCACAGAAAAGGAGTTATTTGATCACCTTAGGGTGGAGGGGAAAGGGGAAGTTTCCCAGAGTTAAGGTTCTTAAGTATGAGTAGGAGTTCAATAGTCAAAAGAAACAACTTAAGCAGAAGCTGGACGCTTAAAAGAAGTAGGGGGCTGGCAGTGGGCAGAGGGCTTGCCCCAGACTGCCACACTGTTGAGGACCTGGGTCTCACGATCCGGAGTTCCTCACTGCCCAGCCCCTCCTCTCTCTGCCAGTGCCAGGGGAAGACATTTTCTTCCATCCACCTGTGGACCCGGCTTCTGTCAGCCTTGGCTGGCCTCCTCTACGCCTCGGCCATTGTGGCCCATGACCGGCGGCCCGAGTATCTGCTGCAGGCCACACCCTGGTTCCTGATCTCCCTCGGCCGAGCTGCGCTGGACCTTGCGGTATCCACCCCAGGACTGGGGAGCTTGCCTGCTGTAGCCAGGGGAGGCCTATGTCTCACCCCCACCCCTCCCAGTCACTCCCCCCTTCCCTCTTGCTAGATGGATCTCTCCCAGCAGTCAAGGAGGTGGTTCGAAACCAGAGGCAGACAGACACAAGTGCAATGATTTGCAGTTTTGTGTTTTCTCTTTTTACATAAGAAGAAACTCTCTGAAACAGTAAGGGGGTGTGTGAAGGGCCCTGGGCCTGAGAAGAGAAGGCCTATCTTCCAGCCTCAGCTCTGCTCCCTGCCGGGGTCTCCTCCGGGGTGGTGCCTGCGTTCTGGGAGCCTCTTCCCCTCAACCCTTGCCTTTCTCACAGGCTGGGCAGGCAGGTGAGTTCCTCCCTCCCTGCTCTCTACGGTGCTGGGCCTGAGCAGGAGAGGCTGACAAGCTGACAAGCCCTGCCATTTGCCAGTAACTACTGAGCGTCTTCCTGGTCCCCAGGAGGTGTTGCCTGATGTGCTGACACCCAGGTGACCTTGGTGTGAGCTTCAAGTGCAGACAGTGGGCAGGAGGGAGGACTTGGCTGGAGGCGCTGCCCGTGAGCAGTGGCTGCTGCGTGGTGCTTGGTGTGTGAGAATAACTAATGCCATCAGCAAAGACCCTACTTCCAAGTGTGGTTGGTCACTCTCTGAGGCTCCAGGTAGACGTTAATTTCCAGAGACACTATCTAACTCACTGCCTGTATACTGTTGTGATAAGCCAAATCCTTCAAGAAAGATGTTTTTCAAAACCAAACGCTTGTTAAGGTCAGGGTGTTGTTGGGCGCTGGGCCCTGGTGGAGCCAGGAATGTAGAGAGAGGCAGACCTGGCTGTGTCCTCAGATCATCGCTTCTGACTGGGGCAGAGCCAGGCAGGGTAGTACTGGGGAGGGCTGACTGGCCACAGGGGGTGGGTGGGGAGGCTAAGGGTGCACCGGGCGGCTGAGAGTGCTCTGCATCCGTCCACCTTAACTGCTGCCCCTGCTCAGATCATTTTCCTTTCGTGTGTGCTGAAAAGCAAGATGAGACGGGCCTTGGGATTTGTTGCTGAAGCCAGAGAGAGCCCTGACACCCAAGCCCTTTTGACCTGTGCAGAGAAAGAGGAAGAAAACCAGGAGATGCAGAACAAGGACAAGGTCTCTAGCTGGAAAACTCTGGTCTCACCAACATGTGTACTGCCATGGATGGACAGGGGAGCAAGCCTCAGCAAGGGCTGGGCTTGGGAATTCTGAAAGTTTCTCTGCCTCAGCCAGATGGTCGCTTAAAAAAGCCACTGTTATATCCAAAGCTAAGGTGACTCTGAATGCAGTGGGATCCTCCATTTTTCTTTCCTTTTTTTTTTTTTTTTTGGACTGAGCCTCAAGCTATCCCCC